CTGTCTTTTGCCACACCATCCCTGCATCCAAGAGGGGACCCTTGACCTTTACATGGGTCCCAGGGAGAAGGGTCTTTCTAGGTGATCTGTGACTTTCTGGAGAGTCACTCCTCTTAGAAGAGAACAGAAGGGAAGGAAGGAGTCCCTGGAGCTGAATGTCAGCAGGACCCCCAGCTCTGAATAGGAGCTGCGTGGGATGGTGGTACTTCCCACATCTTCTCAGATAGGCACAAGGTCCTTCATTTATCTAACGGGTCTTTTACTGAGCATCTGCTATGTGTCATGCTGGGTCAGGGGAACACAGACACAGCCCTTACACTGAGAGAGCTCTCAGTCTGGTGAGAGTAAGTGATGTAGAAAAAAAAATGGAAAGAGAATGAGAGCTGCAATTTAGGGCTATTAAGCTCAAATCATGCCCCGTGGCTCATCATCCTCGAATGAGTAGGCTGCCAGCCTCTAGGAAAATTGTCATGGAGACTTTTCCCTGAGCCCCAATCTTCTTGGGGGATCTAAAGTAAAGAACATTCATTCACTCAAGTTGATACCTGTTGAGTATCTCCTACTGCTGTCTCCCTTCTAGGTATAGATTTAGGATGAGAAAGATCTGCTTTTGTGCAACATATGCTCTAGCAGGGGACAGATGACGGGCAAAAGAAAAATACATATGTAACATTATGCCAGCCTGCTAAGTTCCCTGAGGAAAAATACAACCGGGTGAGGAATATGAGTGGGACGAGCATAGCGTTGGGGGAGTGGTTAGAACACACTGCTCAGGCAACCCCAGACCTACTCCAGAGAGCCCCAGCCCAGCCTTTGTCAACCTCACAGTCCTTCCCAATAATGATCCACTTCCTGTGCCTCCTTCATGGCACTTCCGGCCCCTCGGTCCACCCTCCAGCCGGCAGACAGCTGATGGACTCACCACCTCTCTCTGGTTTCATTCTGCTTCTATCTTAGCTGCCACTCAAGTTGGCTTTGGGGAGGAGCTGGGGGAAGGAAGACGAATACATTCAAATTGTACTGGATGAATTTCTCAAAGAACTAATAAAATATATGTTTAAAAACTGATAGAAACAATATTAAAATTATATGAATGGAGGGAGGCTGAGGTCCATGGTGGAGCGCCCTTTTTTGTTTGATTCCCAACATCATGGACCCACACAACAGAGCTGTGTGGAACTGGGCCCTAGCAAGCACACTGGTCAAACAGACATTACAGTATCCACTTACTAACTGTATTGGCGAAAGCCCCTTCAAGATGCTTTCGGAAATGCATAGAAAAGGCAAATGAATTTGAAATAATGTATCTTTTTAGAGATTATAGAAGCAAAAATGGTAACTAGAGAAGTTCACATGGGCCTCAGAGATTGAGATGGCATTCATTATACAATAAAAAATAAGGAAGATGACTTTAACAGAGATTTTGTTTGTTTGTTTTTGTGGTTCTGGGTATCAAATTCAGGGTCACATATATACTAGGTACCTGGCAAGCAATCTACCACTAAGCTATAACCCCACCCATGAAGCATTTTCTTCTGTTAAAATGTTTTTTTCGTAATGAACTTTTAAAGTACATAGTCTATAGCAAACAGGGAAAGGAATCAGCATCGTCAGCCCCTCCCCCAAGGTGGCATATCCAGTCCAGCTTGGCCAGGACCCAGGAGTCTGCCCTGAGGCTGTTTTCATAGTTGTGGTTACTGCTGCATCAACAGTGCCCACTAGTGGCAAACAGGTGGCTTCTCAAACACAAGTGCATCCCCAGACTCCATAGCTATGCGCTTTCCTTCGGTAAGGCAGTGTGCTCTAGGATCTGTTAGTTTACCTAGCACCTACTTGGATGATCAGAATGGTGGGCTGACCACAGGCTCTCCTTTAACAAACACTGCGCTAATAGAAGCGTGTTCTACCAACAGAGTTCTTTTGTTTGACCCCTCTGTGCCCTACCCCGTTGTTTTGAGTTAACATCGAATGGAATCAGCCCCACAAGTGACCATTAAGGGACCTTTGGCTTCCCTAAGGGACACTCAGTCCTGCCTGGACTTAGAGAGTGGATGGTGAGAATGTTCCTTAAGACCTCGACTTTTCAACAAGTCTAGCAACTGTCCTGCTGCTGTCTGGCTCAGGTGCTGACTGGAAGCCCTGTGTGATGTGTCTGGTGCTGTGAGCACTGACTGGAAGCCCTGTGTGATGTGTCTGGTGCACAGATGCAGCTTCCTAGTGCCAGTCCCCAGGTCCCATCCCAATCACCATCCAGGCTTTGCCTCTTGACGGGCGTCCTTCCCTGCTTATTGCAGGATGAAGAAATGGTTTAAAAAGGGATAACTAATTAGGCTTCTCTCTCAGGATAGGAGGAATGTCAGTACCTCTGCTCTGATATTCTCCCAGTTCCATCAGAGGTAATGTTGGTGCAGGAAGGGAAGTGACAAGGAGCAGAAGGAATATCTATGGGGATCTTTTGGGTAGCAGACTCCACATAGTGCTTTGAGGATAGCCTTCTAAGGTGGATCAGCCCATCCATAAGAAACTGAGGATGTGCTCAGTGGGCAAGAGCACTTGCTCTGCAAGCATGAGGACCCAAGGACCTGAGTTCAAATCCATAGTACCCACATAAAAATCTAGGTGTGTCTAAACAAGACTATAACCCCAGCACTAGGGGACAGACACAAGTAAATTACCAGAGCTCCCTGACTGGTCAGCCTGGGCATAATGTGAACGTGACTTCAGATTCCGTGAGAGGCCCTATCTCAAGGCAGTGAAGCAGAGATCCACAGAAAGACATGATGCATGTATCAAATGTGTGCACAGGAGTACATACTGCTGTACTCACATGCATGAAACATACATACACACACACACACACACACACACACACACACACACACACACACACACACACACACTCATTCACATACACACTGTCCAAATCTTACAGTCTCTAAGAACTTGGGAAGACTGGATTTCATACTCAAGTTTGTCTGACTCCGAAACCCATGTTCTGGGCTCTTCTACTTCTGTTTCTTCCTTCCTGCCCTTGGGTACCTATGTTCCCCAATCAGAGGCCCTACTTCTGGTCTGTTGCTCTGCCACCATCTGCCACCATTCAGAATGGCGCTCGGCCCTAACACCCCGCTGGGATGGGCTTTCTTTAGTAATGGCATCTTCTCATTTGGATTTGGTCCTGCTCTTTCTCTCCTGTCTGGGTGAACTACTATTAAGAGCTGGTTTTGATTATTTGGAAAGCACCACGCAGGGACCCAGTGGGCTATAATTGGTAAGATGTCTGAACGAAATACCATATTTCCTGCTGGTGGCTAATTAAAGGATTTTTACCATTTTAGAAATAGTCTTTCAGAATTCAGAGTTCTTTTTTTTTTACCATTTTAAAAAATTACTATTTTGATTCTGCATGGAGAGTGTGTGCCATCTTGGGAGCTTCCACTACAGTACATTTGGAGGAATGTGCTTCCTATGCAGCCCTGTAGGGGACATTCTGGACTATCTCTCCATTATTTATAGACATAAGAGTCAATAGCACTGCCCGACTCCATCCTCCAGCGACTCAAACCATAACGCTCTTTCCCCCTCTCCAAGACGTGCTGGGGAGTGTTACAATAGCTTTGTGTCCCTCCCTGTCTGGGAAACCCTCCCTTGAAAGAAGCCAGAAGGAAGGTAAGGACGTCTTTAGAAGACCCTTAATTTCCTTCATTTAACTTAGTCGAAAGATCAGAGACTGTGAGCTTCCCCTGAGCAACGTTGTTAGCGTTATAATACGATGAGCACACCTTTCATCTGAGGATCGGAAATGGCTTAACAGGGCCTAATTAAGCCTTCGGGGTTTGACATCCCTAACTAAAGATGCAGACCTGCCTTTCCCACACTGGTTCGCTGTGTATCCCAAGTGGGGTGGGTTCCGTTTTCTTTCTGTGTGCAGTGATGATGGTAACCCCTCATATTTGGTCTCATAAGATCCGAAGATGATTGAAAATAGCTCTGCCTGGCAATGTGTTTGACTGGCTATACTTATGTGCAAAGCTGGCTCTCATGACATCATAATAATAGCTAACATTTATTGTCGCCTACATGATGTACCGTGTTGGGTGGTATACATATATATTTAAATTTTTACATCCTTTTATCAACCTAGCATGAAAGCTGTTCTCTCATCTCGTAGGTGGAAAACCTGAGGTAGAGAGATAAAGAAATGTATCCTTCTTGGCCTAGGTGGGAAGTGGCAGACTCAAGAACGCAGTTTGGGTCAAGCTTCCTCAGTGTTTCCATTATGCAACATTTACCCGGAGCATGGGGCAGAGAACACCATTTAGCTTCTTAGTTATCTTCTAACCCGATGCAAGAGCAGTTGGCACTGGGACACGATGGAGACACCGGCAGCTTTGCTGTGAGCCCATCACGGGCTGGAGAATTAGCCTCTCTAGAGATATATATTCAGATTCCTCCAGGTACTGGGTCAACCTCTGCCTCCTAACTCTGCCCTATGGAACATTCCAGAATAGTTTGCTTTCTCTTCCTTGCCAGCTCTTCAGATATGTAAAATCAGATTGCTTTTACTTCACTCATTCATTTTTCCATTCCTGAATTAGCCTAAAATTTTCTTTTAAGATTTACTAGGTCTGGAATGCAGGATAAAAGAGCCATACTCCATTTAAGAGCTGGTGATCTTAGGGGGGTGAAATTGCGGCTCACAATTGCCTTAGAGTACTCTGATTATACACCACTTATTTTATCCTTCGCTGAGCAGTGGGCTGTACCTGTTCCTAACAGAATATGGCTTACCACTCTCACCAAGAAGGCACAGGTGCTGTCAACTCTCTACAAAACACAAAACTACAGGCAGGATGCACTGAGAGCATGGGGGACTATTTGTCACCTCAGACTGAATCCTCAGTCATTTCCTGCATTAGCCTGATTACTGGAATTTACTTTTCAAATGTCCCATTCCTTTTGAACTCTGGGCTCTGGGGTCATCTACTTCCTCTACTTACCATCTTCCTTAGCAATTCAGTCAGCCCTTTGTGCGTACACTTTCCATAGAGACTGGACCCGAGCCAGCCTGCCGTGGGGCAGGTGATCCATTTGACTCTGTTTCTATAGAAATGGAGAAACCGACAAGGTTGGCCTGGAGAGTGCCAAGAAAGTAGCCCTGTGGGCTGATAGCCTTATTTTCCCAAACAGAGACAAGCTCAGAATTCAAAGGGCTTGTTTCACTAATGATTTCAACACTTTTCTAAGCAGAGGCAGGGGGATGGATGAGATGGCTTATCCAAGGCAGCCTTGCAAGCAGACTCACTGAGGTTCTTTAGAAGGAAACCCAGAGCCAACTTCCTGAAGACCCTGCAGGTTGCCACTCACTGCCGCAAAGGTCAGGTTCCCTCCATGTCCCCTCCCCAGCTGCCATCTTTGCCGAGAGCAGCCTGTGCAGAGGCTCCTTTCTTGGGAAGTCTGGGGTCCTCCGGCGTTTGCAGTTGAAGTACTGGCTCTGCAGCACCCCTGAGGGTACCATCAGCAGCAGAGGCCACTAGGAAGTGGTTTCCCTTGTTCCTCTGACAGTTCCCAACTCTTGGCCCCACCCCCCATTCAAAAGCAATCACATGTAGATCAACAGAAAACCCTGCTACACTTTGTCTGTCAGCTGGTCTGTGCTCACACTGCCTGTGTGTGGCAGCTCAGGAACAATACGGAGGGTGTCCTGGTCTCATAGAGAGGTCCTGTCCGGGTCGATATGTTTGTTCCTAGCCCCTCTTACTCTGAGCAGCCTCTGTGACAGCTCCAGTCCTTTCTGTCCTCAAGTCGCTCAGAAGGCTTGCCAGTGGGAGAGGCAGCTCTGAGAATCCTGTGCTTGTCACTGTCTGATACATTTTCAATTTGAGCAAGAGTTTACCATAAATATGCAGATCCTTTGAAGCTGTCTTTGCTGAGACCTGGCTCAGGGCGCTGGAGCCTGGTGGGTTTGATTGCTGGAAATCAGCAGCCCCGAGTGCCAGCTCCCCAGCACGGGGGACAGACCTGTGAGAGCAGGCCAGCTAGGGAGCTTGCAGGGGCTGCCATCCCCCAGAGCCAGCTCTGCCTTTGATGAGGAAACTCAGGCTGCAGCTCCTCATAGAGGGGAGGTGGCTTGGGGATACTTTGAAGGTGACTGAGAAGTCACTCACGCCTTCTTTTTAATTAAGGAGCCAGGAGAGGAGAAAATGGCATGGAGTTTGAAGCAACAACATCAATTCTTAGAGCTGCGGGTCACTTGGGCCAGCTCTTCAGAAAGGCAGTGATGTCTGAGAGTTTCATTGGGCTTGAAAACCCTTAGTGACCCCATTTGCGTGTTGAGCGATGGGTGTGGTCCTTCCAGCAAGCCATCTGACCTGTCGCTTCCTACTCTACCTTCTGCCCCAGTAGTCATGGGTGCTGGGGGTCTTGGACATAGAAGCTGCCTCAGAATCACACCTGTGTCTCCCTCGCTTCTGACTCCGTCACTCCTCCTCCTGTCTCCAACACTGACTTCAGAAGACTCCCCTGCCACCTCTGATCGGCCAGTGCTCTCTGCCAGCATCTTCTCCCCACCGTCTTCCCAGGACAGGGGTCTTGTGAGCCTGGCCCAGCCAGTAGGTGAGACTCAGTACTCATGGGGCCTGGGGAGGAGGCTGTACAGGGGCCATGCACGTGTGCCTTCCAGGTGTCACGGAACTCACTCAGAGTCAACAAGGGCATCAGAGCCCCAGGTCCTGCGGGTAGAGTGCTGAGGGCCTTCTAAAGCCATAGCTTTCTTTTTCCTTCAAGAGAATTTCCATGTGCCAAAACTCTTAGAGGCAATGGCATTTACGTTTTTGATTGGAAAGGTCCCTGGAACCACTGATTTGTCTCTTACCCTTTCCATGTTCCTCCATGCAGTACAGGCCCCTCTACTTCTGAAAAGGCTCTATAATGCCTTCTCCCAGGAGAGATGCTCCCGCTGTTCCCCTTGCAGCCCCAAGGAGACAAGTTCAAGGAGCAGATGAGCTGGCTTTGAGGGCTGAATCCTAAAGCACTTGTTATCTTTTCCAGCCTCTCTGGTCCCCCGAACATCTGATTCTTTCCCCCAAAGCATAGGGACTCCCGTTTATCGGCTCTGCTGAAAAATTCATCAGCTGCAGAGGCTTATTCACACATCAGCCGGCAAACAAATTAAGAGGTACTTACATTTTTGAACAGGGGGCTGGTTTGGGGCCGAGGAGTGGGATTTTAAAGTGCTGCATTTGAAATCTATTTCTTGTCATGTGCCCGATCACGCTTTTGCCTGAGATCAGCCTGGGGAAGTCTGCCAGCTCCTGGCGACACTTCCTGCACCCCTTCAGCCAACTCATGCAGGGGGGGAGCGAGAAGGGGGGGCTGCCAATTCAGTGCCACAAAACAGCCTGAGGCAGCCAGCTCCTCAAAATGGGAAGCAAGCCAGGGCCAGAGGCGAGGGTACAGGCAGGTCGGCCAGGAGAAAGAAGCAAGGCAGACTGTGGAGGGTTAGGGAGTTTACCCAATCGGGAATGCCTGAGCACCTCCTCCCCCCAACCCCCCCCCACGCCCACTCTGGGCTCCTAACTTCACTTCCCGTTTTCCTCAGTAAAATTTAGGATAGTCATGATTTCCACTTCTTGGGTATCATAAAATTATTGAGAACAAGATAAACTGTTGTTTATAGCTGTTCTTTGAGGGTTCTACTACACTCTGCAATTTTTAATTCTGTTGTCTCACATGGCAATGTCTATATATCTCTCTGTCTATGTGATATTCCCTTTAATCTCCTGGAAATTCTGCCCTGGTTCAGGGCAGAGAGAAGGATACAGTCTTTGGACGGGAAGACTCAACACATAGTCTGTTCCTGCTGGAGCCATACAACCCTAGGAGAGGGCGTATGAGCACTGGCCCATGCTAGGCAGGCAGCAAGCTGATTCCTACCCACTTCTCTTCCTCTGTCTTGAATCTTGTACTTCTCTATATCTGCCTTTGGCCCACTCTCTGACCTTCAGCTCTACTTTGTGGGGGCTATGGATGGGTGTAAAGGGAAGAGAACCTGAGTTATGGCTACTTCCAGGAGAAGCCATAAAATACTGAAGGCCCCCTGAACATGGAATGGATAAGACAAGAGCAACAGACACTCTCAAACTAAACATCCCCCCTCTTCCAAGAGTACAGCAAGGCCCAGGTATAGGCTCCTTCCTACACACAAGTCCGCACCGAGCTACGTCCAGCCCATTCCCAGCCCCAGGCTGAAAGCTCTGAAGTCGCAGTGCTGTCCTGATTGTAGCATCAAGATGGAGAGCGAGCAGCTCCCTCCAGTCCAGATGCTTTATTGAAAGCATCTGTTCAGTTGGCACCTGGGACTCAGAGCTCAGAGTCAAGGTATCAGCACAGCCACCTTCCCAAGACACTTCTTACCTGGTGAGCTGAACAAATGAAGCTGGCATGGCCTGGCTGTCATGTTCCTTGGCCATAATTTTCTTAGATGAAAAGTCTTGAGCATGCTTGAGCTCTCCAGCCGATTCCTCAGCAATTCGTGCTCAAATGTCTCCAGTCTTCTGGGAGGCAGAGAGAGAAGAGCAAGGGAGTGTTCCTGTTTGCTGACTCTGCCATGTACTTGTCATGTATCAGTGTGAGAAAGGCCAACAGTGGGTCATCCCCAAAGCACTTGAAATATACCTAGAAGGTTTTCAATTATATTAGAAAGGGTAAGCCAGGCACAGTGTCTTAGATTTGTAATTGTAGCACTTGGGACATAAGACTGGAGAACCACGGCCTTGAAGCTAGCCTGAGCTACAAAGCAATTTCAAGTCTAGTCTGGGTGACAGGGCAAGGCTTTGTCTCAGAAAAACAGGTAAAAAAGTGTCTGGGGATATGGTTCCATTGCTAGCGTGTTTGCCTAACATGCATAAAAGCCCTGTGTTTCTTCTTCAGCTCTACAGAAACAGGCATAATGCCACATGATTGTGATGCTAGTATGTGGGAGGCAGAGGCAGGAGGATCTGAAGTTCAAAGTCATCCTTGGTTAGATAGGGAGTTTGGGGTCAGCCTAGGTTAGTGATCCTATCTCAAAAAAGAAAGAAAACCATGCAGGGAGCTGAGATACAGGCAAGAGAAGCTTTAAGCTTGTTTAGTCCTTCTGTCCACGCAGATAGGAGATTCAGGCACCCTTCTGATGCTTTTGTGGGAAGCTTTTACTACTGAGGCCCTGAGAGATGGGGAGTCCATTAAATCTGTGAGAGCATTGTTGGGGTGCCATCTGTAATCAGAGCCACAGGTGGCCTGAGCAACACTCCTATTCTGGGTGTCACATTTATCTGTCACCACATTCCCCAAGAACAGTCAAGGTTGGGGGGTTTTAGCAGTAAGGATGGTGACCAAATTCTCTGTCACAGTCTAGAGACTGGAGATCATGACTGGAAATCTGAGCACAGCTTGGTGAAAGCCAAATAGCCCAGCACAGACAAGTCTAATTGATTCTCATTATTTGTGAGATCCGTATTTGCAAGTTTGATTGCTTGATGAAATCTTTTTGCAAAACTCAAGTCAATACTTGCAACAATTTTACAGACATGTGGAGAGGCATAAATTTGACTCACTCAGTGTGCATATGCCCAGCTGATCTTGAACTTGACAATGTTCTGCTGTGTTGTTTCAGTACTAATATTGTCAACAGCGTCTTTTTCATGGACTATTGAATGCTATTGTGTGTGTGTGTGTGTGTGTGTGTGTGTGTGTGTTTTCCCCAGTAACTTTTCTGTTTAAACCAACTCCCCCAATGCAAGACCGGCATGCTGTCCCATGTTCCTATGTACAAGAAAAACTGTGTGCCATGCTCTATGGAGATGATCTTTGTTCAATAGCTTCACTAAAGTCTGACTTATGGTGCTTCTGGGCATGTTAATGAATCAGCAGTATGAATTAGATGAGGCACTGGTAAGCAGAGATGCACAGAAATTAATAAGGTTAAATATTGATGGGTTGATAGGAACACTCTGATCAGAAGCTCACAGGAACCTAACCCTGTGTTTGTCCCGGGAGCAAAGGATTGCTAGCCCTACTTTAATGTGTGTGGCAGCCTTATACAGATCAGAGGAACAACAACAAAATGAGAATCAGCTATAGAGAGACAGCCAGGAGAGAAGACCAGGAATGAAGCAGTGGGGACATCTGAATGTTCCTGTAGGGCCTTTCTCTGCATTCACCACTCCATAGTACTGCACTTTTTCCCCTTACCATCTCCAGGCCTTGCCTTCCTCCTGGCTGCCCTGATACAGAGGTAAAACCCATGCCCTGCGTTCCTGGTGCAGATGGATGGCATAATAAAAACCCTGTAGGCCAATGTTCTAACTGGCTTCTTGGATTACTGCAAACACACCCTCATGAGGAAGAGTGTTACCTAAATGCCTCATGTCAGAGAACACACTACCTGCAGGAACAGCACATTCCTTCTTGGGAAGGTTCTTTCTGTCACCACTCATATTAAATGGCTACCTGATTCACCTTTGTGCCCGGGAGCAGCTGTGCTTCCAATGGCCCCCATGGCCTTGCTCAGACCCATCTCTCTCCCAGGTTCAAGGCACTTGGAAAAGCTACAGGCTGGAGCTCTTTGGAAGAGGCTAGTCTACATTATTCTTTCAAGGTATGATCACTGAAGGTGAAAATGCACCGACTTGTCTAGGTGAACTCAGCCCAGCAGAGTTACTGAGCACCCACAGTAAACCCGGCAACAGCCTGGGAGCTGAACCTGCAAAAGAGAACTGATCCACATAGTGCCATATTTAGGCCAGTGCTGATTCCACATTAGGCATTGGGGACAGGGCTCCTGCCTCTCAAGAAGTGAAATGTCTGGTGGGGAAAATGAACTTGACGTAAGCGATGGCATAAAATTTGTGTGATTCCAAGTGTGATGAACATTCTCACGGAATGAGTGAAGACTCCCATGGTCCAGTCAGGGATGGGCAGCCCTTTCTAAGAGAGTGACATGCAACGTGTAGCTTTAGGGATCCAAGCTGAAACAAAGGAAGGCATTGACAGCAAAGCTATGTCAAGAAGCCAAACCTGCTGCTTGACTTCTTGACAGTAGCCCAGCCCCCCTTTCCTGGGGCTGTGTTTAGAAGCTCTTTCTATATACATAAGTCAGACTGGAAAGCAAGGGGACAGAGGGATGTGGGCTCTCAAGCAGGAACGCTTATGGCAAATACTGCTGGATAAACTAACATTCAAATATTTATCAAGTGATTATCTATATATCCACAGCCCAGGGAATTATAATATCCTGGACAGTGTGCTGTAGTGGTGAGCCTGTCGGAATCTGAATCTCCTCAAATCCTAGTCTTCTTATCTCTAAGATGCAGATTAGGTAGCAGAACCTCCCTGAATTGTGGTTGGTAAATGTCCAGTCCAGATATTTGGCATGGAAGGAATACCCAAAAGTACTGATTAATAAAATTTTCTAATAGTTTGCCTTTAATTACAATGAGTAATATTAAACATTACTTATGCTGTAATTTAAAAAGCAGCATTCGACAGAACTTGGGCAAAGGAGTTTTTATTGGGGAAAAGTGAATGGGAAAAGGGGGGAGGGGAGAAGGGAGACAGGAGTGGAGAGAAGGAGAGACAGAGAGACAGGCAGAGAAAGCGAGAGGAGAGAGAGAGAGAGAGAGAGAGAGAGAGAGAGAGAGAGAGAGAGAGAGAGAGAGAGAGAGAGAGAGAGAGAATGGGGGAGGTGAACAGGGCCCTTTTAAAAGGGAAGGTAGTAGACGTGCACAGGTGGTCTCTTAGTGGCTGCAGTTGAGGGCATATCCTGTCAGAACCCCAAGGACCTGCCAGTACAGGTGTCTGAATACTAACGACCTGTTCACAGACTACACTAGGTTCAGATGATAGAGTAGTGGACAGGTAAGCTATGCAAATCCCTGATGGTCTGATGATGTGCATTTGTGCATTCTGAACATAATTTACATGTGTGATGCAATTCAGAAAGCATGCATACCCGCCTACACATAACCAAACACAAACTTATGCAGTTTTCATTACCTGGCTCATGGATTGCACCCTTCTCCATTCTACAAGAGATCTCACTTTAAATGCAGGTGTTGGTCCACTCAATTGATTTCATAACTCACAAATGGATTGTAGCCAACATTTAATAGAACACTGAACTAGACAAAATGAGTGGAAGGCATGAGAGCATTGTTGTGGATCTTCCTAGCTCTCCCTGTACAGGATTTTGATCTCTTGCTTTTGTCGGGCACTGCTGCTGTCCTGGAATTCTTGCATGATTCTGCACTCAAGTACTGCAGTGAGTATCTGGGTATATTCTGAGGCTAAGCAAATAAGGCCTCTGGTCAACTTCAGCTTGATGTCAACAACTTCCTTTGTTCTCCAGGTCACCCCAGCCCTCAGTTTGAAGATTTCGTATGAGATAACATTGTGTGTATGTGTGTGTGTCTG